AGTTTTAAGTTATGCGATATTTATGGCCTGACGATTGAATCAATATAATTTCTCACACATCTTTAGATCATAAAGAGATAAATTCCTTCCTTTTAAATCCACTCAGCTATTGGAGTTTCGTAAGAGTTTTGTCTCTAGTCCACCTTTGAGTGAACTTAAGTGTTAGTGTTTCAGGATTCATGTCTCCAGTTCGCCTTTGGATTGGGAAACATAAACATTTTAGAAATGATTTTAGATAGTCATAAAAGTAGTCCTTTCAAGATTTAACCACACGTGTGGCTTTGGGTTAGTCCAATTTTTCCGGAAGACAAGTGGATGGAGGGCTGCGAACCCAGGACTATCTATATATGCAGAGAGAGGTAGAAAGTCGTGGAAAGCCCTAAGAGAAGTAGGTAGATGACTAGAGATGTTTAAACTATCCAGTGGACTGTGGGCGGAGGTCCGGTAGTGGGAGATCAGGAGTCGCCGAGCTCAGAGGCCTGTGAAATTAGGGAGATAACAGTTCAGCCGAAGGGAAAGATAGCCGGCTATGTGAGAAGTCGTATTGTTGTGAACTTTCAATCCGTGTCTTTAAAAACATTTGTCGTCACTAGCATTATTAGTTGAAAGCGATCACGGTCGAGGAGACAAACCTGCGCACGTACCGTGTTGGGTGTATTTGCAAATATACTCAACGTGAGAATGTCGTCATAAAGATTGTCACAATTTCGCCACAAATAGCATCACACACACACACACACACGCGCGCGCACGCACACACATACATATATATATGCATATATATATATATATGTATAGGACCAATGTATGTGTGTATGGCGGGTGGGGGTAATATATACAATAAACGTCGGTTTCAATTTGACAAGGCCTTGTTGTAATCCCCAATACTTAAAATCTAAAATTGACTCCATTGATAAAATCATCATTGGTTGAAGACATTCCATCTGAGAACGAAATGAGTTACATATAAATTTTGTTACTTTTTCTCATTCTATTACCCACAATTAGACGGATATAGATATATGTTCAGACGCGCACGTGCGCACAGACAGACAAACAGACACACAAACACACATACACACACACACACACACACACGCGCGCGCACATACACAAATGTATATGTATCTTGTGTTGAAAATTGTATTGAGACGTCAAACTGACAGTCACTATGCAGTATTTATTCCAAACATAATCAACAATTTGGAAATAAGAAAAGAGAAAAATGATTTCCAGAAAAGACTTTAAAAGATAAAAAAAATCATAAACAACTCAAAAACCTATTTATAAAAGCAAGTATATATAAGATAATCTATAAAATGGAAACCAACAATTGCAATAAACTAATCGACAAAGAAGTCACTAAATTTGACAAAACTACTAATAAAAAACAGCAAGTGATATAAACAAAGAAGCTAAAAACATTGCCACCAAACTAAAATTAGACAATAAAATAATTGGCAAAAGCAGAACCATTTATTAAATGAAAAGATTATAAGAACAATTTTATGATGAAACCAACATGTGATTACTAAACCCTAAAAAAAATATTGGGGAAATAAGCAAACAAATATTAGAAAAAATATGCTCACAACTAAGAAGAATACTAAACATAAACCAATGGAAAGATACTAAAGCAACAATCAATTGGTTTAATAACATTAGTAATAAAGGATAATTTTTCCTTCACGCAATTAAACAAAAAAGATTTCTACCCGTTTATTAATGGGCATACAATAAACAATACATTAAACTTAGAAAAACAATATATGATTATCCCAAATGAGGATATAAATATAATTAAACACTACCGAAAATCAATATTATACCACAATAAAAAAAATGGACAAAAATGGACAAAAATAATAACAACAACAATAATAATGATAATAACTTTGACGTAACAATGGGTTGCTATGATAGCGCTTAATGAAATAAGAGGAATATATACAATCAATAAATTAACACATATTATTGGTCTAAACAAGGACGCCGGTATATTAATCTTACGAAACTGTTACGGCAGAATTATAGAAAAAAAAATAAAACAAGAAATATTAAAAACCTTCAAAACCTTATGGTTTAGAATAGATATAAAGTCTAATAATAAAATAGTAATTTTTTAGATAAAACATTCATCCTAAACAACGGAACTTACAAATCTTACAGAAAATAACAAAAACCCAATATGCATTAACAGAAATTTTAACCACTCCACTAAGGTATTGAAACAAATACCGATATCGATAAATGAAAGAATTTCAACAAATTTTAGTAGCCTAAGAATATTCAATGGAAATTAAAAACAAAAAATAACATGAATCGGCCTTAAGAAACTGCGGCTATTTAAACAAACTAGAATACGAAAACGAAAATATTTCAAACAAAAGCAACAGAAAAAATAATTTGGTTCAACACCGACAACAATACAATAAAAAAATAGGGAAAAATTCAACTAACTGACAAACAGTTCATTAAAAACAACAAATTATCAAATAGCATCAACAAAAATCCAATGAAAATTAGTTACAGCTGCATGGATAACATGGAGAAAATAATAAACACAATAAAGCTACTCAATAAAACCAATAACAATTAGAACAACAATACAACAAACTAACACCATTAAATTTATCTGCAGAAACAAAGAAAATTGCTCACTTAACAATAAATGTTTAACCAATAACATACAAAAAAAAAACTTTTAAAGAAATAAAATTCATTCGAAAAAATACATAACAATACAACCCTCAATCAAAATACATATGAAACAGAAAAAGAAAATATCTCCACCAAAATCAAATGGGAAATTATAAAAAGAGCAATCCTATACAGTATTTACAGCAAAAATTGTAAAGTATGCTTAGAGGAAAAATTATTAAAGTAGAAAACTAAAACAATGAGAAAATGTAGGCATATAAAAAATATTTACTTTGCCATTTAAGCACTAACAAAAACAAATAAATATAAATAAAATAAATACAAAGCTTAAAAAATATAATACAAACTTTAGATAAATAGATACAAAACAAATATAATATAAACTTAATTTATTAATGACCAAATAAACGAACAAATATTAAAGTACGCACCTATGCACGTGTGTGTACATGTACATGTGGACATGCACACACACAAACACGAAAAATGAACAAACCTAACCCACCATAATTAATACCTCAATATATACCACCAAGGCAAAAACAAATCAACTACTAACCAATAAATAAAAATAAAACATTGAATAAAGGATAAGATGATATAAACATACACTTATTTTAATTACATACACTACTTATTTATATAAAAACGAAAGTAAATGAAATACAACTTCCTGAGAAAAATAAAATAAAATGCCCAGAAATAAAAGAAATAACTAAAAATAGGTCACATGTCTAGAGCAGGATCAAAATCAGACTAATTTTGCTACAGATAAAAAAAAAAAAAAAAAAAAATGAAGAAAAACGGCAACATGATAACGACGCACATCCGTGCAGACGAATGCACGTGAGCGCGTGGACTAGCGGACACACGAACACAGAAAATAAAGAAGAAAATTTTCACTTGTGCGAAATGTATATATATAAAAAGAGAAAAATATTGAAAAATATAAGCAGTAAATTGTTGCTACACCCTGAAGAGTGTACGAGCAGGTCCCTCTGAGAAACTCATTAGTCGGGATCCTGGGGTTAACAACAATCAGTTAAGTGGAAAATTTTTCTCATATTAATCCTATATATATATATATATATATATATATATATATATTAAACAAAGCAATTTCTAAAAAATTAATGCTTTTTATTTTTTAATACGACATATTTTTATTACTTCAAGCGTTGAAACTGATATGTGTTTTGAGAAATCTGAACGAGTTTGTTCGATTTAAAGGCAAAATAGATCCTCGAGTTATTCTGAAGCTCTTCGTAGCTGAGTGGTAAAAGCACATCGCATCATACAAAGGTGTACACAGGTTAGAATCTTGCCTTAGGGCACATTTTCTCCGAGTACGCAGGCTGGAAGACGAAATAAATATTGTTTAAAATATACAGAGCGTCTATTCAAATACGGGTATGCACTAACAATAACGTTTGAAGTTCATATATATATATATATATATATATATATATATATATATATATATATATATATATATATGTATGTGTGTGTGTGTGTGTGTGTGTGTGTGTGAAGGCACGGTGTAGTGGATAGTGGCTCGGATTGAGTTCGATTCCAGTCGAATTCATTACATTCACTTACGTGCCAATACCCTTGGGAAAGTTATTAATACTCTTTTCTCTCCAGCTATGAATAAATAGCAGGACAAACTGGGTTCTATAGCCTTGGATGGCAACTGGTCTAGGAGAAGGACAACTCTAAATTCAAATCCTGCAGAGGGTTGTTTGGGAACCTTGTGGCACGTAGTGCACCAGGTCACTGTATTCGGTCCTTCAAAAAGTGCGGTTGGTTCTGCACAAAGCCTTCATCACTATAACCAAATCATATGTGCTGGTGTCTGGCTGTTGGTTCCTAGGAACTAGGCTGCTTGACCCCTCATACGTCAAATACGACGGGAGAGTCTACCATATATATATATATATATATATATATATATGGTAGACTCTCCATATATATATATATATATATATATATATATATATATATATATATATATGGTAGACTATTCCTGCAGCTTAGTTTCTAGGAACCGACAGCCAGATACCATATATATATATATATATATATATATATATATATATATATATATATATATATATATATATATATAGCTGTTTGGCTTTTCTAGACTGGACATTATTTATTTTCTTTTGTTCTTTATTGACAAAACCATGCTGTCGGATTACTGTACGAAACAAAATTGGTATGAGGTAAACAAAAATATCACCCTGATGTACATCTGTTTGTTGAATCTAAAAGTTTATGGCTCGAATATTTGGTTCGGTATGAATAGTTACGCTTTCCGGTTAACAAGTATTGACATGAAATCGACGTTAGAAGACAGCCACCCACTGCTCACACAGATAATCAATTGTTCTTCTCTGTTGAGGACGTTCCTCTTTCAGATAATACTTGTCTTTTCCCTAACATTCACTTTTTCTCTTCGTCACAGGGATTTAACTGAACTCGACTCTTCTTTGCTTAATCGTGGGTCTGTAAAAAAAAAAACAGCGAAAAAAAAATAACAAAATTGGTTTATTGTATTTTTCAAGCATCTAACTGCTTCTGTTCATATGTAAGTATGTATGTATGCATGTACGAGGCCTGATCAGTTTGTGCCAGCGTATATAGGTCCCTTGCTGGACTAAAGAGCCACATTCATTCATCACATCAGTAGATATTCTCTAAAAAGATATGTAGTGATGACCGTACTCAGACACGTGTTGTCAACTATCCTGTAAGTTTGTATTATATTTTTTAAGCTTTGTATTTATTTTATTTATATTTATTTGTTTTTGTTAGTGCTTAAATGGCAAAGTAAATATTTTTTATATGCCTACATTTGCTCATTGTTTTAGTTTTCTACTTTAAACCAGGTCACTTAATGAGTGATACTGGTAATACGTAACTCAGTATTACCTGTTTTATCGTCGAGTTATCGGTAACTAAACCGTCCCCCCCCCCAACAGGCTTGACGGTGAAGAGAGTGGCTTATCTCTCAGCAGGATGTAAAACAAAACCTAACAAAGAGCGGATTAATCCTTTCTTGTGAACAATGGTCATCTACCAAATCAGGCATGACTGTTGCTCTAAAAAGAAAACTACAACATATATCAATTCTGCATTTAATCTTCTTCGAAGTCCACATGTAATCACCTTCAGGATCCACATATTTTTATCTACCGTCGTTTCCATTGTTGGAAGAATTCCTGCAGCTTCTTTTTTTGGTGGGTGGTGGGTATAGCGTACAGCTGAATCATCGCATTTTCTTGGATTTCCTCGATGCTTTGAAATCCTATTCAATTCAAGTGGGATTTTATTTTTGAAGAGTAAAAAGATGCAAGGACCGAAATCTGGAGAATAAGGTGGTTCCTAGACCTTGGGAATGTTGTGCTTAGCCAAAAATTGCTTCACAAACCATGTCACTGATGAAACCTCTCGGGTGGTGAGACGACCACACCCTACACACTTTCCTTCCAAGCACTGCTATGAAATACGGAAGTGAGTGAGAACGTTATAACTTAGTATGTATGCGTGCCAGAGTTCAAGATTTTTCTGTGGCAAGCAGTTTCACTCAGCGTACATTAGCTCTGTACCGCTCCAACTTTGACAATGGTAAACGGAAAGTAAAAGGCTAAAACTAAAATATAACTTGGAACAAGACGAAATGGTTAAAGAATGGAACGATAGATAGACTAAGAGAAAGAATCGAAATTTCTTTTAATTTTAACGTCTATTTTTAAGCAGAGATGGCTTGAAGAAAGTAACTGTCGGAGGACGCATATTTTCTATGAAAGTTTCTCGGACATTCAGGCCGTTAAATGTCGTTAATACTGTTTATTATAAACAGAGCATTTACTTAAATATTTGCATCTATAAAATAACGTATAAACATAAAAAGTTTCTGAAAATAATTGTCGGACAGTGTCCATTTCATAATGTGTGACGTCATTTGTTTACATTTGGATACGCAACGAGCAGATATGAATGTACGAGAGAAAATCATGGAAAATTGTAGTTTAAAAACAGTAAAATCGACCTTGCTAACCAAAACGCTCCTCTGTGGCTCAATAGGTAAAAGGGCGTTAGGCTATATGATGGTTCCGTATAGGATACAGGTTCGATTCCTGTCGGAGGACGCATAATTTCTATGAAAATTTCGCGGACATTCAGGCCGGTAAATATCGTTAATACGGTTTATTATAAACAGAGCATTTACTTAAATATTTGTATCAATAAAAAGAACGTATAAACATAAAGAATGTCTTTATACATATACATATATATATATACATGATAGGATGAAGAACACGTAGGAATTAGATCTCATTTCACCTTATTAAAGCTTCGTCAGAGATCAAGATAGAAGCTTTAATAAAGCGAAACGTTAGATTGAGATCTGCTTCCAACTTGTTCTTTATCCAATCATTTTTTCGCATTCCTATCCATAGTTGATCTATATTTGATCTTCTGCTGATATTGACAGGGACACAATGCGTGTATATATATATATATATATATATATATATATATATATAGAGAGAGAGAGAGAGAGAGATTTTTTATGTCATACATATATCTATATATATAAATATATATATTCATATATATATATCCTATTACGAATTAATACCATAAACAGTTTGAATATCCTGCGAATTTTAAAATTAAAATTGAAGGTGAAATGGCCATTAACTAAATGTATCTTAATTCCAATTGTAAAGAAAATCTGCCCTGTTTAATGAAAATAATCACTGAGGGCTCTTTTGTGAGTCAGTTTTTAACATAATTCAAATTCTGTTATGTGTTAATAGGACTCGTCTGGATTATACCAACGGATTACTACCTATACATATATATATATATATATATATATATATATATATATATATATATATATATATATATATAGATTCACCGGTTGGTTTTGACGTATGAGGATCTGACAGCTTAGTTGATTCAGTTATGAAATTTTGTGCGATAATCTTAAGTGGCACTTAAGACCCGCTAGTGATTTACAAAGGAAGCAAGAGAGAGATCACTGTTAGATTGGCTGACATTTTAGATCTTGATTTCGCTTCTTGAAGATGATTCAGACAAGTATATTGAAAACTGCTGATCCCACTAAAACACGTTGATCTCCATTCTACCCACTCCAAAGCTAAGCGCTCAAGGGTTATATGTGGTATATTGACAGCTGACAAGTATATATATATATGTACACACACACACACACCTGACGATTGAGTCCAGCATGAAACAGTCTGTCGCTTCTGAGTGCTGACTTCAATGTTCACTTTTATATATATATATATATATGTATATATATATATCTGTACGAATTGTGTGCCTGCCGTTACATCTGAAGAAAAAGAAGCTTTCAAGCAATCCTTAAGAAAATGGGACATTTCCTTCGCTTGCATAGACTCGTATTTAGATCTTGTAATGGTCATGCGCATTGTGCGTTCTTCAATACATTTTTTAATTTCAATTTTGTCTGTGTAGGCGGATGTTTTTCTCCTTACAACGTGTACATTTTCTGGCTCGTTGTTCTCGCTAGCTATAGGAAAAAGACGGTAAAACGTTTTGATTTTTGCGTGGTCGGCTTTCCTTGTTGCCTAGGAGACTGAATCTGTCTTTTCTTTTCATGATGGCTAATATAGTAGACTGTGCATCTTCGTCTTTCTCCTTATGGCTTTCTTTTTCAGCAGAGGATTTCTCATCTAATGGATATAATTAACAGTGGCCCGTTCAGGTGTTTTCGTGTCAGATTGAAAATCTTCACCTGGAAAGAACAACTAACTCAGATCGTGTGTATCATCGTCATTTTTTTTTTTTTTGGTGAATTCTCTGAAAATCTTCATTTGTTTTTAAATTTCTTAACTTTATTTTCTCCGTTTTCATTCTTTCAGTCCTTTCTCTTTGTAATCCTTTCTCTTTGTAATCCTTTCTCTTTGTCATTCATACATTCTTTTCTTTCTCTCTTCTTCTTTCTCACCATTTTCTTTTACTGCTTGTTTTTCTCGACAGAATCTGTCTATTTACAAATCTAGCATTCGCCAATGCTTTGAATATTGCTGTTATATATAGTTTGGCACTCCTGCCATATATGCAAAGATCCTTGATATAATCCAAAGAAGAATCTACAATATTATTGATCCTGATCTGGCATCTTGACTTTAGTTACTTTTCCACCGCCGTAATGTAACTTTACCATGCCTTTTCTATAAATACATAGTACACTATTTACATTATACGGACTATTGTCCTCATTTTTGTTGCCATATTACAACGTTTTGGCCGTTTTACGCTCCGGCCTTCTTCAGGTGGTTGGAATGTCAAACTGCACCCTTTAGTTCGCTCACTGGGATAGACTGTTCTAGTTCAATGTGTCATGTTTAATGGATGTCAATTATCAGTTATCTCCTGTTAATTTCCCTCTGAAAGTTCTCCACTGCCTTAGCCTGGTATTGAACTCACACTCTTTGGGTCCTGTCACTGGATCTAACCAACGCCTTTATCCACTGTGTCATGTGTCCTTGAGGACATCTCTGTATGAATTTCTGGGTATTAAAAAAGGCAGTGGAGAACTCTTGTGAGTATTAAATTTTCCATTTTCATTATATCTCCCAGGAGTTTCAGCCGTCTCTTTTTGATTATAGATATACATTCCTATTCTTTCTCTTTGCTCACATATTCTGTTGAGTACTGTCAGTATTTGTCGGTAGTACTACATCCTTATGGCTTGAAGTTTCTTTATTTGGGTATGACGATAAACTACATCCGGCAGCAAGGCCTCTGATCGAGAGATTGGTGGCGGTTTGAGGAGAGTTTAGCTACCTCTTAACTGCTGTTGTTTCTAGGTCCACATTGACCCAAAGTAGTAGCACCTGTTTGGGTCCCAGCTATGGGTAAATAATGAAGCCACAAACGAAAATCAACAGTTTATTTTTGTAATAAAATGACTAACGATACATCCTTGCAGCTTAAGTACAGTATTTGTTTTCTTATTTTGAAGACAAAGCTTTTTGATGGAAAAAATTCTACAGACGTATTTGAACAATTTTTGTTAAGCAAGAATTCAGTTTGATATTTTTTAAAATGAGTCTATATTGTTTTAAATAGGAACGAACTGAACACATCGGAAGAAGAAATCACGGTGAATCGTTTTGCATAATTAATTAAACTTAATTTGAATTGAGCTGTGAATGACAGTCTTCTTTTCTAGATATCGAAAAGAGAGAACCAATAGAACTAAACGAATGAAGAAACAAACTGTTTTGCTCTCTAAGCCTAACATGGAGTTAGAGAACATAATATGTCATTTTCATAAGGTTTCATCAAGAAAATTAATTTTAAAATATATAAGAACATTTTGTCATATTGTGTATTTAAAATAGAAAAGATTATTGTAAAAATTCATTTTTCATCAAAAATTTTCTTTTTCTTTCAGAAAAAAATTACCTTAGTATATATTATTCAGAGAAGTCATAAAAAGCTTTTTTAATTAAATATTGTCTTAGTTTTATTGGGTTTTGTATTTTTACAATTGAGGTAAATGTTTGGACAATTTTGCTCAATTTTTACCAAAAAAATTGATGATTTAGAATCTTCAGAGTCTTGTGCATTTAATAAAAAAAAATTCAGGTTGCAAAAAATAAATTTTTGAAGTTTTCATAAAATTAAGTTATAAATATATATATATATATATATATATATATATATATATATATATATACCATGACTTTCAAAAAGACAAACCTTTCTAAAATAATTTCATTCATTTGTGAATAAATTCTGAAGGTTCCATTAAAATCCAATAAGTACTTGATTTTTGCAAGATTTTCCAAATCAATGTGTTTTTTCAACAGAAAACAGTGAAAAACAAAAGGGACAAGCCTAATATAATAGTATTTGAATTTCTTCATAAAAGCAATGCAAATTATTATATGAAATTCTACAGCGTAAGGATCTTGAATAGAAAAATCAATAAAGAAACACGACTCAAGGTAAACGTTTCTATAAAGATTATTACTACAAAGATGGAACGAATACATCCGAGAGAAACAGAAACTATGATCTGGAATTGGAATGAAAGCAGTAATGTCGTCTATCATAAAAATTCAAAATATGAAATTAGTAAATACTAAATAGATTGGTGTCTGGATCTGTTTTTAACAAATTTAGTATAGGGGATAAGGAAACTGAACATAGAATCGGCTGTGCTGGAGGTTGTTTGAACTATAAAATGATGACACCTTGCCTTGGTGTATGGATCAGTTATGACAAATTTATCAGAGGAGATAAGGGAATTGAAGATAGAATAAGCTGCGCTAGAGGTAGCTTCACCAAACATCGTAAATTGCTGCAAATAACTTCTTAAATAACCTCATTAAGACTTTCATATAGACGTCATGCATGATACCAAACTCATTCAGAAATATTTATACTGTTTTCTGTATACAACCACTTTGTAAAATCAATGGTTAACAATGGCTTTGGGTGAATGAAGTCTATGGGTTTTGATAAAGACCATATTACTTCGAACCTTGTGGTGCTTTACAATCACAAAGAATTGTACTAAAACACATCACTTGAAGACTTTCAACAGTAGCAACAGATAAAATGGATAGCACATCTAATTCAAATAGAAAATAAGGACATAATCAAGATGTTGACATTCCATACCATTTCAAATAAAATGAAATCCTCAACACTAGAAAGAGCAATAACATCTACTGGACTCGAGAAACCTATTTTCCTGAAACATTATTTGAAGAAAAAGACTTTATACATTGTACAGTTGTACAGGCTACCTTTAATAATAGTGAATGGATGCTGGATGTTTCCTGATAAGGAAATGACTAATATTACCATTGCTTCAAACATTTTCTTTATTTATCAGTCTATTTACCCCAATCTGTTCATATCTATTTCTCTACCCCAATCTGTTCATATATTTCTTTCTACTCCAATATGTTCATCATTATCTCGCTACCCAATCTGTTCATATATATATTCTATTCATTCAAACCTATCCTAAAAATCTAGTTGGCATTAAATAATCCATTGAGGTCGATATTCCGTAAAACAAAATAAACCAAACCAAAACCTAATCCACATTTATCTCAGTCTTTCTTTATCTTCATCTCTGTCTTAAAATCTTACATGTCTAGAAACATTTCAAAACTCATCATGCATATGAAAAGGAGGAAATAAGAGTCTTGCTCTATTTAATCTTTTCCTAGGCCATGACCTGTGCATTGACAAACACAGATGTGAAGTGATGGGCATTGATCATTCCATACCATGATAAAAATTCAAGATGTGAAATTAGTAAATACTAAAGACTTTGGTGTATGGATCAGTTATGACAAATTTAGTATCTCTATCTATAAAAGGCAGGAAGTGTGTGTGTGTGTGTGTGTATAACGAATGCACGGCCGCAATTTTCGACGGATTTGCGCCAAAATTTACATGCACATGCTTCAAGTTAGCAGGAAGGCCAAGACCGACTTTGCATTTCGCATCGATAGTGGAAATAATCAATATTTCATGCTTCTACGGCAGTTTTCATGTAGTTTGCGGCCATTTTCTACTGGCCAGAGTGACAGCCTATAGCTGGCTGCCACAAATAGAGAGGAAGATTCTATTGGCCAGCGTGAGAGCCAACAGCTGACTGACACGAATGTTAACTAGCATGATAGCATGCAAAAAAAAAAAAAATCGATAGCTGCATTCGTCACAAGTGGGAAAAATTTAAATCTGCATGGCACTTTACTCCAATTGGCTCATTCGCTTGCTTAAACTGAACATTGATTCTGATTCAGCAGAACTGGGTTGGTTGTGAAAAATATTTGTTGTTTACATTCTTTTTTCATTCGCTTTTTCCAGTTACGAATCCTTTTTAAAGCTGATCGTTTTGTGTTCATTTTGTTTAGTTCTTTTTTCGTAACAGATTTAATGTTTAGTATAGAGCTTAGAAAAAAATCGCAGTGTGAGATAGGCAAGAAGTAAGGCATGTAGCAACATCAGCACGGCAAAGGGCACTCCTTTAAAGGCAAGGAAGAGCAAAAATATTTTAAGTCAAGTGATAGCGATTGCTGTATGAGTCGTACGATTTTTGAATCAAGCACGGGCAACGCCGGGCCATGCTGCTACTAAGAGATAAAGAAATTGAACATAGAATCGGCTGCGCTGGAGGTAGTCTGAACTATAAAATGATGAGACCTTCCCTTGTTTATGGATCAATTATAACAAATTTAGTAGCGGAGATAAGGAAGTTGAAGATAAAATGAGCAAAGCTAGAGTTATTTTTGTCCGACACCGAAAATCGCTACAAAATCAACACATCAATCAACCTGACAATTCGAGACCTATTCTTAAATTGCCAAGACTTTTATGGATATCATGGATGGTGCCAAATATCAGAAATATCTAAACTGTCATCTATATACAACCGCTTCATAAGGTAAATGATTAAAAAGGCTTTGAGCGAATAAAACCTGAGTACCTTGGCAAAGATCATCCGTCTTTGAATATTATGGACTGGTGCTACAGAATCACAAAGAATAGTACCAAATAACAGAAACCACATCACTTGAGGACTTCCAACAGCAACAACAACTAAAATTGATAGCATATGTAACTCAAAGAGAAAATGATATCATGAAGATTTTGACATTGCAGACGACTTCAAATAAATGTTAGGAAGGAAACCTCCATCAATACTGGAAAGAGCGATAAGAGCTACTAATCTTGAAAAAACTTATTTTCCTGAAAAATTGTTTTAATAGAAAGATTTTATAAATTTCAACCAAAAGCAGTACTGGCTTTTCGGCCAATGAATGCCAAATTGTTCCATGCAGAGAAACGGTTAATATTACCAAACCCCCTTTTTCTGAGGAATAGAGAATTATACTTTTCGGAAACTGAGTAAGGTATTAACGGATAGGAAAATTGTCTTTAGAAACAAAGACAACAGCGATGAATGGCATTAGTGTTTCTTTGTTTGTT